ATGGGGAGGGGGAATATCAAAAGAGGAATAATATTGGGGGACATGTAAAAATTAGATGGAATTCAAATGCAAGTGTCCATAAATAAAGTTTTGCTGGAACACAGCCACACTCTTTAGTTTACATATTGTCTACAGCAGGTTTTATGCTCCAAGTGCAGAGTGAAACAGCTGGGACAGAGGCCACATGGCAAAGTCTAAAATACTCACTATCTGGCCCTTTACAGAAAAGGTTGACTGACCCTAGCTTGAAGGGAATGGATTTCTAGAACCTCAACATCTCTGTGTCCTCTTCCAAGAACTCAGCTGCCTGAGAAGGTGCCAGCTTCAAGGGGTCAGGTATGAGTGGTATCTTCTCCTTTCTCACCTCTTCTTCACACTTGCCCTTCTCCCACTTCCAAAAGAAGACCCCTCACCAGCCCTAGGGGTGTAAAAACCTCCTAGGCACTAAACCAAAGAATCTCCCCCAAATACTCGTGTCTAATGGGATTCTAATGACATCTTGTTTTCAAGTCAGGAGGGTTCCAAATATTGCATTACCAAAACCAAAGGAGGACCCAGTCAAGTTGTCAGCTGCCAAACCATTGAAACTATTTGGTGGCAGATGGCTATGTGATGTTTGGCACGTAACTCAGAAGGGGTTCAAAGAATTGAGTAACATGGTTATGACAAAACTAGTGTCATAATTATTTATGTAAACAAAGTTTTCAAGGCTTACATGTAAAATATTTTAAATGCTGAATGCAGTCCCATTCTATGAATAAGCAGTATTGGTCCACTGATACATGACGAAAAAAACCTTTCCTTTCGTAAGAAGTGAATTTCAAATAACAGTTTGTTACTATGTTTAATAGCTACTTATCAAAACTTGCATCATGCTTACATTATTTTGATCAATTATGCTTATAATTATGAAATCAGGACCTCGATTTCTAACTGACTGTTGAGGCCTTTTTCGATTCCTTGACTTTGGGCCTCTCGCAGGGCAGCTCACCGCAACCCAGAAAGAGGCTGAACAACAGAAGCCATGGTCTTTTTAGCCTAATCCTGTAAGTGACATCCTCTCACATCACGTTTGTCGTATTCTATTGCTGGAATCAAGGCAAGAGGCTCAGGCCACACTCAAGGGGAGGGAGATACAAAAGGATGTGACTACCAGGACGGGGGATCACAGGAGCCATCTCAGACGCTGCCCACTACAAATGTCAAATTTTAAGAACATTTATATCCTCTACATCTGTTTAAGTACAGGACGAAAAGTTTTAGGTGTCATCTTAAAAATGGGTGAGAGGATGCAGAGTTTTCCAGACTTCTTTTAGAAATAAACAAGTAAAGATGTTCGGAGACCACGGAGTTTGAGGCCTAATCGAGTCGGGGCCTGTCAGGTGGCGGGGTCTAGCAGAGGGTCGCCAGCGGGCCTTGGGCATTGGGGAAGGGGCGGTGGCTGCTTGGGACAGTGAGAAAAGCCACCGCCCCAGACCTGGCCCCTCCATCCAGTCCGGGTGAGTGCGAAACGCAGGAAAAAGCCAAGCACGTCTAGATTCCGTGGGTGTCAAAGGTCAGGCGAGGCGATTAGACCTGAACGGGAAGAAAATGCGGGCGACGGTGGGTGTAGGGAAACTGAGGAAGGGGATACGAAGCAGTTTGCGAAAGGCGCATGTGCCAGGAGCGGGCAGGGTGAAACCCGGGAGGCCGAGGCTCGAAGCCGCAAGCCCGGGCTGGGGCCTGGAGGGAGCCAGGAGAGGGGAGACGCGCGTCCGACTTGGGATGGGGAGGGGGAATATCAAAAGAGGAATAATATTGGGGGACATGTAAAAATTAGATGGAATTCAAATGCAAGTGTCCATAAATAAAGTTTTGCTGGAACACAGCCACACTCTTTAGTTTACATATTGTCTACAGCAGGTTTTATGCTCCAAGTGCAGAGTGAAACAGGTCTGGGGGTCCGGACGCGAGAGCATGCAGTCAGCTCTCGCTCCAGAGGATCATCGGTCGTCAGGACGCGAGACTAGGAGCTGGGATCACGGGGGCCGTCCGCCAGCGGACGTGGAGTAAGTCTCGGGAAATGCGGCGGTCTGGGGCGCTGTGGGCACGCAGAATAGTCCCAAACCGGAGGCCTGCCCCCCGGCAATCCAGTCTCGCAGAGTGGGCGCCAGCTGTGTGAGGAATGACTGCTCCCATTTCCTCCCCCGGGACCCAACCGAGAAAATGCGTCGGAGCCGGCAGCCGCCGGTGCTTGAGAAACGAAAGGAAAGCCAGGGAAAGCAGAGCCAGACCCCGGAGTGGCCAGGGGATGGGAATAGCGGGACAGGGACTACGAAAACGGACTTCCTTGGAGTCTCGAGCTGGGGCCTGACGTCCAGGGACCAAGAAGAAAGCCCAGAGAAGGGTGATCAGGGACGAGGGCAAAGCGGAAAGGGACTAAAGTCGGGCGCCAAGGCTCGCGGGTAAGAGCCAGGATGAAACTTAAGAACGGGAGGGGCCCCGAGGCCCGGCCGAGGAGCGCGGGGAGGAGCGCGCACCTGGACGCACGGCCGGAGGAGGGCCCAGCGCGGCGCCGGGTCCCGGGCCAAAGCCCTGCCCCTCGGCGGCCCGCCCCCTGGGAGGCTGTAAGCCGGAAGCCGGCGAAGAAGAGTCAACTCCGAGCTTCTTGGCGGAAGGGGAAGCCCAGGGCCGGTCCCCTGCAGTGCCCCAGCCTCGGGCTGCGAGCGCTCCGCGACAGTGCGGGGCCATGGGGACTCCGCGCCGCGGGCCACCCGTCCACCCGGGGCCCCCGCTGGGGCGGCTGCTGCTGCCCCTGCTCCTGAGCGGGCTGGCCCCGGCTCGCGCCTCCCCGCGGCTCCTGGACCACCCGGCGCCAGTCTGCTCCCGGGAGGTGAGAGAGACCCCAACGCGCCCCGAGGATGCTGCGGGGGCGGGCGAGGTGCCCCGGGCCGGGAAGTCTGCGCTGGGGGGGTCTCAGTGGGTCCGCGGCTCGGCCACAAAGAGTGGGCACGCTCGGGAGGACCCTCGGAGCGGTGGGAGTTGCGGGGTGGGCCGGAGAACAGAGCGAGTTTTCGGGGGAAAAGACCCGACCCGGCGTCCTGGGCAGGAGGCGGGAGCGCCGCCCGGGGGCCCGCGGTTCGAGGAAGGAGGCGCGGGGCCGGCCAGAGAGGCGGGGCAGGGTCGGTTAGAAAGGGAGGTGGGGAGGGCCCTTCGGAGGAGCCAGGACTGGCCCGGAGCGGCCTCCACGCCGTGCGCCCCGCAAATCCCGGTGGTGCCGGGGCGGGCCCGGGAGACCCATCCGGACCTCGAGAGCTTCCCCTCAAAGGAGTCCCGCCAGCCCCCGGCATTCGGATCGGGGGCGACTGTGCGGAAGTCTGGGGCCCCGTCGGACCTCGGCCCCACTCCCCGGGAGGGACCCCGCGGTCCTAGAGCCTTGCGCGCGAGCCCGGATGGCCTGTGGGGGCTAAGGGCTCGGAGAGGTGAGACGGGGACAGTTGTGCCGAGGGCAGCCGGCCGACTCCGGGCGACACCTCTCCAGAGGGACGAAGCCCTGAGGACTGGGCAGAGGATTAAGACACCGCCTTTCCAGCGCCCACCACCACCACAACCACCCCTAGGGTCCAGTTTGTGCCTGTCAAGTAGTACCCCCGCTGTGCTCACAGGAAGTGACACACCCACCCCTTCGGTAGTGCCCTTTTGTGGAGGACCATCTTACGGGGAAAAAAACAAACAGCAAAACACTGTGCCCACCTCCACAACTTCTCCGCTCAAAGCTGCCCTCTCTCCTCCACTTTCTCTCTGGTTTCCTCAGCCCTCTCCCCTCCACCACTTCTGACCCAGTAACTGAGTCAGAGGATGTGAAACAACCAAGGAGATATTTCTCCTTATCTAATTTTGTGGAGGATTTGCCAAAAGAGGGCAGAGGATGAGTGACTATTTAGCAGGATTTTTTTTTTTTTTTTAATGTGAAAGATGTTGGGAAATGGTCTTGTAACTCCCACTTTAGGCAAAGCAGGGGATATATGCTTAGCAGATCCCACAACTCGGTATAGAACTATTCTACTCAGAGAATTCGGTGTTCATTTTTTGATGGCCATTTGCCAAGTGCCTGCAAAATACAAGGCACTACTGTTGCTCTGAACTGAAACTATCAGGAAACAGCCCTGGGACCCTAATGTCCAGCAACTTCAATCATCTAGGAGGGGAAAAGGCTTGACGGTGCTAACTGTGGTGCAAGACAGCCTGTAGCAAGTGCTCTTTGTGGAACCAGAGAGTGTACAGAATTCCAAGGAAAAGAAAAATTATTTCCAGCTGGGATGTTCTTCATGGCAGATAAGGCATTTAGGCACCCCTGAGGGGTGGTGGGGCCTCCAAAACACCAGTGGTGGAGCAGTCCAGGTGGCGGAAAGGGGCTGGGCCAAGGTCCTTGGGTGGGCAGGAAAAGGTGTGTGGCTGCAGTGGAGGGTGTGTGTGGCAGGAAGTGAGAGAAGAAGCTAGAAAGGGAGGTAGGGACTCCATGGGAGCCTGGTGTGAGAGCTAGGCTGAGTGTTTGACTTTAATTGCTCAGTGGGAAGCACTCCTGAAAGTCAGGAGCAGGGGCAGGGCTGGAGAGGGATACTTATTGGCCAGAGTTGTCTGCGATCTCCCACGTTCTTTCCCCCACCTTGCCTCTACCTACACACCTGGCTCACAACCCGCTCATCTCCATGGACAGGCAGGTTCCCTGCTTCATGGATTAGTCCCTTTAAAAAGAAAGAAACAAACTCTTCAGATTTCTCTGCCTCCATTGGTATTTCAGTGGATGCAGCATAATATAATGAGGGGAGGGAAGGCCACAAACTTAGCCTCAGAGCACCTGCATTTGCATCCTGACTTCACCACCTAGAATCACTGCAAGCTTGAGCAGCTTAGGCTACCTGCTCCTTCGCCTGGGTTTCCTCACTTCCACAAGAAAGAGCTGATGAGCCATTGCAAAGTGTCCGAACCACTTTCCAGAATATATAAATGCCTATCCAAAGCCCGGTTGGATTGAGCACTCAGTGACTCTCCCAAGACAGACAGGAGCCTTCTGCAGACCTGTTCTGTTCTGCTACTAGCCCAGTGCTGCAAGCACAGGATGTGGGAGCTTGATAAGTATTTGTGGAATGAAAGTCAAAGGAATGAGTGAGTGAGTGAATGAACGAATGAGTGGTCGGCTCTGCTTGAAATGCAGTGATTACCTGAGACCAGGCATAGCACTGTTCCTGGCTTCCTGGGTTTAACACCTCAAAACCCAGATTACTCTTGAGTTCCCCACAGAAATCGATACTGGAGAAGCCATAAGTAATTTCATTTCCCTGACCTGAGCAGTCTCCCCACCCCCAACCATTGGCCCTTCCCCCGGCCCGGGCTTTCTCACACGTCACCCACGAGTGCTAGCCCAGAGGAGAGCCCTCAAGGGAAGACAATGACTTGGATTTGGTCAGTTTGAGTGTTAACACACCGTTTTATGGACAGGATGTATGTTGTCTTACAAATTCTTTTTTTCTTTCCTGAGCACTTTGGGGTTTAGACTTGGGGCAGAACAAGGGTTAGATTTAACCCTTACCTTCCGGTTACCATTCCACTCTCCTTGTGTAAAAGGTGTTCTGGGATGCTTTTACATGGTAGAGGCATCCTGGCAGTCAGGGCTGGGCTCGCTGCAATTAACACGTCCCTTGGCCATCATACCTCGCACCCTGCCCGCTCCCAACAGGCCTTCCATCTAGAGACTGTGATATCAGATAGCAGCCAGCAGCACCCAGCAGGGCTGTGTAGGGGAGAGGCCATGCCGGGTCAGAAGCCCTGGGCTCTGCGCTGGGCTTCCCCGCTCACCCGCTGTGCAGCCCTGGGTCAGTCACTCCACTGTGAGGAGCCAGTGTTCTCCCGTACAAAAGATCCTCACCTGCCAGCGTTACGGGGAGAGCAGATTCTATGGAGGTAAAGCACCAGACTACGTGCGTTGTAGCTTCGGAAGGTGCCAGGGCATAACATTCACCTGTAGCTCTGTGCCAGGCACCATACAGGGGGTTCACCTGCACAGCTTCCCTCCACACTCACAACAACCTGCCAGGCCACACCATTGACCCCTTCTAGAGAGGCTGGGTAATTGGCTACTGAGTGCTGGGCTGAGAATCCAAGCGGTACGTGACTTCAGAGCCCACCTTTCCTTACCAGGCACTTGGTCTTGTTCGTTGAGTGCACAGAGTTAGACACAGTGAAATAAATGTCTTCCTTTTAATCTTCACCAGTACAGACAGAGAATATTGGCCTACCTGCTGCAGGTGTCCTTTTTTTTTTTTTTTTTCCATTTAGACAGTATAGCAGTGATTCAGAGCATGAATTCTGGAGCAGAACTGCATGGGTTTGAGTGTCAGCTCTGTGGGACCTTGGGCCACTTAACTGACCTCTCTGTGTCTCAGTTTTTTCATCAGTAAAAATGGGATAATGGGGGAGGAGGCGCCTAGTGGCTCAGTCGGTTAAGCCTCGGACTCTTGATTTCAGCTCAGGTCATGATCTCAGGGTCTGAGATCGAGCCGCACTTCGGGCTCTGCATTTAGCATGGAGTCTGCTTGTCCCTCTTCCTCTGTCCCACCCACTGTGTGCACCTGCATGCACTCTCTCAAATAAATAAGATCTTTAAAAAAAAAATAAAAATAAAACCCAAACCGACAGATCCCTGTCCCAGCCCTCGCCACTCCCTAAAACTGTTTCCCAAAGATGATCACTCACATATATTTTAGGTTTTTTTCCCCCTGGCATTTGCCTCCACATTTCTAAATGTACTTATATTGTTGTTCTTGACTTATCAATGTTCGATATTGCCTATTGACTCATAATAGATAAAAATTTAAATTTTTTACATTTCTCCCACATCACAATTTTAGTGAAATCCATCGTTCGTGTTTGTAACAAGTAAGTAATCACTGCTGAGGCCAATAGGTGTACTTTGATTATATTCCTTTTCTGGTGTAATTCCTTTTCTCCTTCCGAGATGATAACTGCTTTAATTCTTCCATAATTTTCCATGTAACTAGTCAGTTTTTTCTGTCAGATTTGTCAGATGTTGTTTTCCCCAAACATCAGATATTCCATCGATTCCATTCCCTCTCCCCCCAGAGAACTCCCTCCTGAAACCCCGCGTTCTCCAGCTCCAGCCTGGACAGATCCCTGTCTAGGCCTGTGGCACAACTGTTGTGCTCAGTATCCGTCCTGGATCCTTTGTCTGTCTTCCCAGAGCCTGCCTCCCTCATTCTGCTGGAACATATCCTTCTGCAGTTTCCTAAGAAAATGGATAAGGATGTGAGGGAAATATATACACATATATACCTTCACACTTTTTATTAATTTGGCTGGGCATAAAAATCACTGGTTAAAGATAGTTTACCCTCAGAATTATGGAGGCATTGTTCTGTTGCCTTCTAGCAAACAGTACAGATGCTGAGGAGGCCAATGCCTTCCTGACTCTCTGTGTGTGGCACCCTACCTTCCCTCTTCTGGAAATATTTAGATCTTCTTATTCCTGGTATTCCAGAAGTTTCATGATGTTGGACCTTGTTCTGGGCCTTTTTTCCAGGCCGTTCAGGGAAACTTTTTAATTTGGAAGTATGTATCCTTTAGTTCTGGAGTGTTCTTCTTTGCTTTTTAATTTCTTCCCCTCTGTTTTCTATATAGTCTTCTTCTGGAAATCCAGTTAATCATACCTTGATTTCCTGACTGATTCTCTAAATAGTCATATATTTTCTCTCCTATTTCTGTGTCTGTTCATTCTACTTTCAGAGAAATTTCCTGAATTACAGCCTAGCTCTTCTATGGGGTATTTTATTTCCAAGGTTCATTTTTATTCTCTGCTTGCTCATTTTACCATATATCCTGTCCTTGTCAGTGTCCTCTCTTATCTCTTTGAAACTATTATAACTTTGTTTGTTTTGTTTTAATTTTATTCTGTTCCCAGCATTGTCTTATTTCCTCCAAGAGCATTTTTTTAAATTTTTATGTTTTGATCTATGTTTCATACAGGAAACCCTTCTTAAGTATCTGGTACTCTTTGGCTGTCTGAGAATATTTTTTTATAAAGATTTTATTTATTTATTTAAGAGAGAGAGAAAAAGAGAGAGCACAAGCAGGGGGAGCAGCAGGGCAGAGGGAGAAGCAGGCTCCCCGCTGAGCAAGGAGCCAGATGCAGGGCTTGATCCCAGGATGCTGGGATCATGACCCAAGCCCAAAGTAGACACTTAACCAACTGAGCCACCCAGGCGCCCCTGTCTGAGAATATTTTAAGAATGAGGTCCTGGGGCACCGTGACTTATTTGTTAAGCGTCTGCCTTCAGCTCAGGTCATGAACCCAAGGTTCTGGGATCGAGCCCCATGTCGGGCTCCCTGCTAGGCAGGAAGCCTGCTTCTCCCTCTCCCACTCCCCCTGCTTGTGTTCCCTCTCTCACTGTGTCTCTCTCTGTCAAATAAATAAATAAAATCTTAAAAAAAAAAAAAAAGAAAGGAAGAATGAGGTCCTAATCATGATGAGCACTGAGTAATGTATGGAGTGTTGAATCACGATAGTGTACACCTAAAACTAATTTAACACTGTATGTTAACTATACTGAAATTAAAATGAAAAACTTAATAAAAAATTTTTTAGAAGAATAAGGTCCTAAAAAGCTGATTAAATACTCTGTGTAGGTAGGACTTACTGACTTTACTATAGGGGGTCAAGCTAATGGTGAACGTGCCCTATCAGTGGACTCTCAAATGTCAGAATCAGGAGGTCTTTTCCAGGGCTTGGCTGCCAGCGTTCTGAGATCAGAGCAGGGAAAGAGGCGAAGGTTCCAACATTCCCTATGTAGACCTTCACTGAACCGCACCCCCTTCAGCTCCTTTGTTTATACTACCTCCCCAGACACGTGATACCCTTAAGACCTGATGCTTTTTTTTTTTTTATGTTCAGTTAGCCACTATATAGTACATAATATAGTACATCCTTGATGCAGTGTTCAGTGATTCATTAGTTAAGTATAAGACCTGATGCTTTAAAAGGTTCTGTTGGCTTCTTTCTTATTCTTTTCCCACTTGACCTGAGCCATTTGCCTACTCCTCCTTCCACTTTGGCTTTTAAAAATTTGTTCTCTGGGCACCTGGATGGTTCAGCAGTTGGGCGTCTGCCTTCAGCTCAGGTCATGATCCCACGGTCCTGGGATCGAGTCCCGCATCGGGCTCCCTGCTCAGCGGGGAGTCTGCTTTTCCCTCTGCCTGCAGCTCCCCCTGCTTGTGCTCTCTCTCTCTCTGTCAAATAAATAAATAAAATCTTTTTAAAAAATAAAATAAAAATAAAACTTCGTTATCGGGGCGCCTGGGTGGCTCAGTTGGTTAAGCGGCTGCCTTCGGCTCAGGTCATGATTGAGCTCCTTGCTCAGCGGGGAGCCTGCTTCTCCCTCTGCCTGTGGTGCCCTCTGCTTATGCTCTCTCTCTCTCTCTCTCTCACTCACTCAAATAGATAAATAAAATCTAAAAAAAAAATGTTTTTTTAATTTGTTCACATCTTTTGTCCATTGATGTTTCTTCTTTGTCCATGAAAATTTCTTTTTTTTTTTTTTTTTTTTTTTAGATTTTTTATTTATTTATCTGAGAGAGATTGGGAGACAGAGAGCATGAGAGGGGGAGGATCAGAGGGAGAAGCAGACTCCCCGCCAAGCAGGGAGCCCGATGCGGGACTCGATCCCGGGACTCCAGGATCATGACCTGAGCCGAAGGCAGTCGCCCAACCAACTGAGCCACCCAGGCGCCCTTGTCCATGAAAATTTCTAAAAATGTTCTCTTTCCTAGAAGTTTCCTATGGTTTGGGGAGGGGGAGAAGATAATGTATGTATATGATCAACATGCCATGACCTCTAATGGAATGTGTTATTCGATATTTCACTGATATGCATATTTTTCTCTTCTGTTTAAATCTTTTCCCCCTCATCTTCCCTCTCTCCATCTCTTCTGGTTCCATCCCTTTACCCCCAGTAACCCGTGTGTTAATGACCTGCTATATATCTGTCCAAATATTTTTATATGTTCATACAATTATATTCATCATATATAAATATATGGGGAGGGTTTTTTCATCACTTATTTCCATAGAAAATTGGATCATACGATAAGAAGTTCTTTGCTTATGTTTCTCACTCATCAACACATCTTAAGCATCACTCCAGGTCAATAGATACCTACATAACTAATTCTCTTTAATCTTTACATAATATTCCCTAGTAGGTAGCAGTTTCTTGTCCTCTGTGCCCCAGTCCTAGGAGTTTCTGGTGGGAGGAGAAATGAGCATGTGCATGGAAGTTAATCTCCTCACCGGCCAGGAAACAGAGTGACCCTAGAGTAAGCAGAGGCAGCTGGTGGGTCTTGTTGAACGCGTGAGGAGCGCCGCACAGGGTTTCGATGGCCCTGGGTGAGTGAGAATTCAGCGCCAGGAGCTGGACAGGACCCTAAGGGCTCATGAACTGGCATCCCAAAAGGTAGGGTATGGATGAAATGGCATGCTTAGAATACAGTCCTGTATCCGCTTTGTGAATGAACCCTGGTGGCCAAGCATCTTCTCCCATCTTTAACCCTGTCTCTCTGCTCCCTCTTGAGAGAAAGGCAGGTGCTGACCCCAACACCGGATTTACATGCATTTACCAAATCCCTCTGTTGTCCTGAAAATTGTATTCCTGGTCTGCTTCAACATCTGACTTTCTACTCCACATGATCGGTCCATTTTGCCAAACTGGGTAACTAGAAATACCTAAGCCTGAGTTCTTCCTTGCTCCAAAATCAAAGCCAAATCTGAGTATGTGGAGGTCACCCCTTTTAACAAAAGCTTCCATTTATTGAGTGCTTACTAAATGCCAAGCTCTAAGGAAGGGCAGCCAATAATTTAAGAGCAGCCATTATGCCCCAGACACTGGGCAAATATCATGTCATTGAGCAGGCAATGACATAGTTCCCCAGGCACTGCAGCCAACAAAACTCCTCATCATGATTTTCTTAGGGCTGTTTAACAGCTGCCCGTTTAACAGTCCAGGGGCACTGTATTATTTTATTTAATTGTATAATTAATACACAAATACATTTCTGCTGTTTGAAACTTTTTGTAATACAGATATATTAGAAGCAGAAAGTGCAGGGCTCCCTTCCACACCGCCATCACTACCAGCCCACTCCCTGCCCCAGGTTCTTTATATGTGTATCATTTAATTCCCACCAATGCTAGGAAGGTAGTATTGGTAATTCTGATTTTACAGTTGAAGAAATCAAGGCCTCGCAATGTTTGGTATCTGGCCTAAAGTCACTTAGCTGGGAAGTGGTGGTAAGGTGACTCAGCTCCAAGGATGTGTGTATGTGTCTTCCAAAGTAGAGTCAGCTGGCCAAACTGAAGCCAGTGATTGCATTTCCTACTGTTTGTAATTAGGGCTTCTAAATCTGGCTCTCCAGAGCTCCTCTGGGTTAGAGAGTTCACACATATTACCAAAGTGGGAGGCAGCATAAGGTGACAATTGTGCTTCAGTTTTCTGATCTATAAAACGGGGCTGAGGGTAACACTTAGTCCTAAGTGTGTGTGAGGATTAGTGAAATAATATGTCTGGTCAGCCAGATCAGGGGCTGGCACCTATGGGAGCTTGTAGGGAGTTGGTGAATTTTCCATAGCTGACCCTGTCACAGGAGCTGTGGTTTTGTTCGCTTCTCTGGCCGCGCTGTTGTCCAGACCGGAGGTGGGAAGCCCCAGGGTATTTAGAGGGCTTTTCAGCGGGGTGCCCCAAAAGAGAACCTTCTCAGTATCTTTTAAAATGGGGAAGTTCCCAGCTGTTAACAGTTACTCAGAAAATGCCCTTTCCATTTTGTCATCCACTGGACCCACTTGCCATCCTGTTTCTCCTTGGATGGGCAGGTTGGGTGAAGTGTGAGGAGACTATGATTCCCTGCCCCACGAGCGGCCCCCAAAAGTGAGGGTGGTGCTGTGTACATTTTATTCTTGAGAATGAGCCAAGGGAAGCATGGGGAGCCTGGCTTGTGAATTACCCTTCCTTCACAGCTGTAATTACCTCCTTCCTTTCTTCCGCAGGGGCTAAACTGTGCAGTGAAGAATAGTAAGTGGTCTGTTTTTGTTCATCCTGTTGTTGCCTTGTTAATAAAGTGCTAACCTTGTGCCGCTGTCTGACAGGAGCGCTGCCCCTCCACCTAGGCTCCAGATGGGGGTGACAGCCTTCAGCAGGAGGGATCCTTGAGAATCCAGGCTGTGTGCACCTGCGTTTCCTATCAAGAATATCCATTATGCGAAAGTCAGGAAGTGAGACACAGAATTGTCATTTAGGTTTTGAAAACATTGTCTGGGGTGCTGCCCTGGTGGGTCTACAATACGATTTGATTTGCCAGAGCTTGTCACTGGAAAGTGAGAGACATCTGTGATGTTGATCCTGTTTTGTGTTTTAATTCAAGAAGGAGGCACATACTTCAAGTGTCTGTGCTAATTAGGGATGAGCCCTGGCATATAATATAAATCAACTTTTATCACTACCCCATCCTTCCTGTGCCCCATTTCACTGCTTTATTGCAAAACCAAGTTTCATGCTTTGTCTCCTGTCCTAAAATGCCCTTTAGACTTCAGAGATTTGCAGGGACTCAGACAAGCTGGAGAAGAAAGGGGCAGGGTGGCAGCCAGCCAAGGGTCACAGGCCCCTGTGTGTGTACGATCGAGCTCTCTGGAGCCCCTGCTGGGGCATCTTGCTTGCATGCCTCATTCTTCTGCAGCTTCTTCAGGTTCTTACAGAGCGTGGGGGGTCTCTGATTCCTGCATTTTCTGGCTCCAGGTACCTGCCTGGATGACAGCTGGATCCACCCTCGAAATCTGACCCCTTCATCCCCCAAAGATGTCCAGGTCCACCTGGACTTTGCCCAGACCCAGCATGGAGACCTACTGCCTATAGCTCGCATTGGGTGGACCCTGCAGACAGACGGTGAGTGGGCGTGGGGGGGGCGGGGCCTGGGAGGTTCTACCCTCCTCCCAGTGAGTCCACACAACAGACCACCGGCTCTCCCACCAGACTCAGAATGGGGCTCCTGGTCCCGTCCTCAGACACGAGGGCCCAGATTTCATGCTGAAAGCCTCCATCATTTCATGCAGTAAATGAATACTTTTTTAGTGTTTTAGATATTAACCCATGATGGTGTCTTCTCAACCCACCATCCCTCCTTCAGCCTAAAATCCTTATCACCCCAGAGAAGAAAGTCAAGTGGTTCATTCTCTGACTGTGGTACCAAATATTTATTGGAAAATGGTAACACATTGGCCAGTGTGCTTTTTCCCTTAATTTAGGGGCAGGCATTTTTTTTTTTTTTAAGTAATCTCCACACCTAACGTGGGGCTCAGACTCATGACCCCAAGATCAAGAGTCACGTGCTCCACCTACTGAGCCAGCCAAGTGTCCCTAGGGGCTAGCATTTTTTAAGACAACACTCCCCCCGCCAAAACCTCTTCAGGGATAGAGAGTTGTATGACAGAATCAGGAAGATTGGGGTTAACAAGAACCAGCCCCACATTTGTGACCAGGGCCCAGGGGAGGTCGTCCTCCTTATAAGTCTCCAGCCCCTGGTGCCTACCTGAGCCTATCCAAGGATGGGGACGGCCAGGTTTGACACCCAGGCCATGTTGTCAACATCCTGGCCACAAATCTGCACAGCCTTTGCCTCTGGCCCAGTGTAAAGTTTCACTTGTCCTTGCCCAGCTGGGAAGTAACCTCTGCAAGGCCGTCGGCTCCACCAGGCCCAAGAGTGAGCTGCAGGGAGCAGGAAGTGGAGGGTTAGGTACAGTGAACAGATTTTCTTTTAAGAGTGAGTAAGCATAACAGACAGGAAAGTTCCACGCCCAGCGGTTTGTCTTTGTTGACCTGCCTCTGTTCATCTCTTCTCCCTCTGACCTGCAGCCAGCATCCTCTTCCTGGAGGGTGCAGAGTTATCTGTCCTGCAGCTGAGCACCAACGAACGCTTGTGCGTCAAGTTTGAGTTTCTGTCCAAACTGCAGCATCATCGCAGGCGGGTAAGCAGCCGGCTCCAGAGCGCATTGCGTTCTCTACTGATAGCGAGGAGCAGAAAGTGTTTTTGAAGACTTCCCAGACGTGCCCACCCCTGCTTTTGCTCCCAACTTTCCCTAGTTGTTCAGCGTAAAGAAATTTGAGTGGAAGGCCTTGCACAGCCCCACTCCTGTTCTCTTCCTGTGTGACCGCGGCTAATGTGGGGCCTGCCTCCAGGAAGGAGCAGCTTTGCCCAGACCCGGGAACTGCAGTGGCTGGGGCACAAGCGGGGGAGTTCTGCAGCAGTTTCCATTTATTTTGCTGCTCGCTGCCCGATGGTAAAAGGTTGATTCTCGTTTAGTGTGTTTAAAGCATTGGTTCACAGAGTGTGGTCCCAGGGCCGGCAGCATGGGCATGCCCTGCGAACCGGTTCGAAATGCAGAAGTTAGGGCCCCACCCCTGACTTCCAGAATCAGAAATGCTGAGGCTGGGGCCCAGCAGTCGGTGTTGAACCAGCCTACCAGGTGATTCTGGGGCAAGCTCCAGTCTGAACACTTGCCAGTTGAAATCTGCAAAAGTGCCTGTTTGCAGATCTCCCGCAAACGCAAGCAGCCAAGACAGTTCCCTTCCCCTGTATTTAATGAGGACCCCCAAACTTGACTGCTGGCTGGATGGTGAGGCCCAGGTGCCTAGATCAACTTAGAAGCAAAGGACCGCACACCCTCATCCACCCCCACACTAATTAGAATGGAAGTTGGAATCAGTATGTGTCATCTGCACCATCCAGAAAATATCCTCACACTTTCTGGAATCTCTGCAACAGAGGTGACTGCAGGCGCACGCTGGGTGGGGATCTGTAGCCCTCCCTCTGCACTTTTGTGCTCCAGAACATTCTCAAGAGATCCCGACTTTCCCATTTAAGGAGGAAGAGTCACTTAACAAACGGTTTTTAGCAGCCTCTTGTGCGCTAGCTCGCTCACTAGCCCGCAGCCCCCCGGCCGGCTCCCTCACCCCCTCATTCTGGAGTCTGAGAGCGCCCACCAGGGAGGAGGACTGTTTCGGCTTTCCCCAGATTCTCTGGCATATGACACTACTGTCTACTGATGACGCCAGATCTAGGTTTTTTAGGCAGAGCGAAGACCAGAGGAAACCAAGAGCAGAGACCCACCTCCCTCTGATTTTGGATCTTGCTGTGGTGGTTTTCCTCCCCTGTTTCTCGGACCTTTCGGGGGTGGGTGGGGGTGGAGTTCTCTGGCACACACCGCTGGGTGAGAGGAGTGTGTGACCTGTCCATCCTCCCCTTCCTCCCTCTCTTCAGTGGCATTTTACCTTCAGCCACTTTGTGGTAGAACCCGGCCAGGAGTATGAGGTGACCGTTCACCACCTGCCCAAACCCATCCCTGACGGGGACCCAAATCACCAGTCCAAGAACTTCCCCGTGCCTGGTAAGAGCGCCCTCCCAAGCCATTCCTTTCACCACTCGGCTCTTCCTGTTCGAGAAGAAACCAGCAGGTGGCTCAGACATCAGCCTCTCGCTCAGCTGGGCCATCCATGGCTGCCATTGTCAGCACGTGGTACCTACAGAATGAACAGATGCCACGACTGGGGACCTCCTGCCCAGGAAACGTCGGGAAGACAAGCCGCTCCATGAGAGTTTTAACCCCCGCTTCGAGCCTCATCCCAGCCCTCATCACCTTGCTCTGCACCAAATGTCTTTTTTCATTCCCCACCTGCCCTGCCTGGTTCTTCACTTTTTACCACATATCCTACCTGCATTTATCTGCCACCATCCCATGTGCGACACCATCTCCTCTTCCCCCTCGGGTCCGTCCTGCCTAGGAAAGACCTCTGGGCTTATCTTCTAAAATGTCGTTTGATGTCTGTGCACCTTCTAGTTCTCTGTCCTCCCAGCATCTCAGCCACAACCTACATTTCTCATTGTTCAAAGCCGACTATGTCTGGAGCCCCAGCCCCCTTGAGGACAGGGTCTGGGGCTTACACCCATCCATGCAAGCTCCTGAGCCTCCCATTGCCTTGCCTGTAGTAGGCAGTTCAGAAGAATGCTTGTTAAGGGTGATGACAGCCTTCACACACACACACACACACAGATGCACACACACACAATCTGCTTACCCTGCTTTTATTTTTCTTCACATTACCCATCACTCTCTTACACATTATCATGATATTTTTGTGACGTTACATTATACTGTTTGTTTTCTTTGGTCTCTTCTACTGGAATGTGCTCTCCAGAGGGCAGGGACTCTCCCTTATTCACCACTATATCTCTAGTTGCCTAAACCAGTGCCTGAAACAGGTCGGATGTTCATAAGTGCTTGTCAAATGAGTGAACAGTCTCCCCAGGCCCTTCCCTTGTTCCTACAGTAGACTAACTCAGTCCCTGTCACAGCGGTTCACACCTGTCACATATCTTCTTAAAAGTGAAAATGTTACAGGCAAGGCCATTGGGGAAGGGAAGTCAGGAAGATGTCTATGGAGCAGTGGTCCTCAGGGCAGTCCCTAAGCCAGTGGCATCCTTGAATTACCTGGGAGCTTGTTAGAAATGCAGGTTTTCATGGACCCTCCCCAGACCGACTGCGTCCAGAAACTACCCAGGGTGATGCACAGGAAAGTTCGAGAAACACTGCTGTGAAGGAACAAAGTACTTCTGCCCCTGTCACGAGTCAGAGGCAACCTGCAGAGAAGGCTGGGGGCGGGCGAGAGGGTGGGGGGAGGAACTAGGGTAGGCCGAGACTCTCAGCAAGCTTGGGAGTTGAGTCTGGAAGGTTCTGTGAGAGACGAGGGAGGACACAAGCAGGTCAACCCTCAGTTCTGTGGGACCTCTGGCCCTTGGTAGCAGTTCACTCGTGGAACTTGCTTTGACGGGGCCATCTTTGAACAGACTCCCCAAAAGGAAAGAGGTGGTTGTCCCTGGTGTCAGGAGTCTGGAAGAGCAAACTTTCTAAGACAGAGGCTTAGTGGTTTCCCCTTTTTCTGGGTTGGCAGGCTGCGAGGACCCCAGGATGAGGATGACCACGCCGTGTGTGAGCTCAGGTAACCACAGCCAGCGGCCTTGCTGGGGGAGCTTTACTCGGGTGCACACACATGCATGCGTGCACACCCTCCCCTTGCTCCCAACCCGTGTCTGTGCCCTGGGCAGGCAGCCTGTGGGACCCCAACATCATGGCAGAGACCCTGGAAGCCCAGCAGCTGCGGGTGAGCTTCACCCTGTGGAACGAGTCTACCCCTTACCAGATCCTGCTGACCAGTTTTCCACACACGGAGAACCAGAGCTGCTTCCATCATGTCCTCATGGTGCCCGAGGTAAGGCCGTCACTGTCCCGAGCCCTCTCGTGTAGCTGTACGCCCTCTCGCCAGGCTTCAAGCCACCCAGTACTGTGCTTGGTTGATCCCAGTTCTGTGCTGCTCGGCTCTTTGTCTTTCCTTATGATATGTGGTCGGTGTAGTCGCGTCTGTGGTGGATCTTTCCTTTGGCTCCATTGTGTAGTTGATCTCTGCCCTGCTCACCTCCCCCATCCTCTCAGATCCTCCTTCCACACAGTACCCCTGGTTCTCTTTGCTTTGTTTTTTTTATCCCACCTGTTCCAAAAAGGACCTGAAGAGTTTTAAAATGTGGTATTAAGACAAAGGGGAAATAAAGATGAGGAAACAAGATAAAGCCAGGGTGGGGTTACTACGGAAAATGTGTGTCATGCCATTGGCTGTGAACACAGATGTGTCCCCACGATCCCCAGCAGCCGAAGCAAAGAGAGAAAAACCAGTCACTAGATGTGCTCCTGAATCAACAATGAGCCAGTTGCCATAGGGAACTTTTCCGGAAACCCGGAAAGCCTTCCTCGGGCGTGCTGGACAGCAATGGCCGTGTTCCCGGCAGCCGCCTTAGCGCGGCGGCAAGCTCGTGCCCGTCCAGCCTGACCCCCCTCCCACCTCCCTGCAGCCCGCACTTGAGGACGTCCACCGGCGGGCCAACGTCACGCTCACCCTGTCAGACCAGAACTGGTGCTGCCGCCACCGAGTGCAGGTGGGTGCGGGTGGCACCGCCAGGTGTGGGAGCACGTGCACAGACGGGCCCTCCGCCTAGAGGGGCCAGGTAGGGGAGGCCGGCAGCTCAAGGACTCGTGCTCTCTCCGAGGACCTGGCACCCTGACCCCCTGGGGCTCCCTGCCTGGGGAGGCCTTCTCTCTGCCTTCCCCAGCCCCGTACTCCCGGCCTCCCCTGGCAGGGCTTCTTGGCGCCCGGGAGCCGCTGGGCGAGCTGCCTGGCAGGCCCGTGGGCGTCCCGGAGTTGCCGGCCAGGCTCTGCTCCCTCCGGGAGCCTCTGCTGGCAAGAGCGCACTCGCGGAGGGCCCGAGCCTCCCCACCCAGTGTCTCAGCGGCCCGCTGTCCCCCGCTTTCTCTGTGCCCCCAGATCCAGCCCTTCTTCAGTAGCTGTCTCAACGACTGTCTCAGACACTCCATAAGCCTCCCCTGTCCAGAAATTCCAGAGGCTCCAGGTAGGGGGCGTATGGCTGCTCTGGGGTGTTTTCGGGGATGAGAGTGAAGGAAGGCCAGCACCTTGAGCTGAGCCCTGACCTGGTGCTGAGGGTGGGGGCGGGCTTTAATTTTACTTGGAGTTATTCAGGCCTGCAATGTGGGGCCGTAGAGACACTCCTGGGTTGGACTCCTGACTGCCTTTCATTAGCTGTGTAGCCATGGGCAAAATACATAACCTTTCTGATCCTGAACTTCTGTGACTGAAGAACTGGGGATCGTCCTTGTCCGAGAGTTTCAGTATGGACCACGAAGTGCTTTACCATGTCCGCTTTTAATCCCCACGGATTGTGACTCCTGGTGCCATGAAGTAGAGTGTCCCTCCCGCAGTTTGTAGATGAGGAAATAGAGGCACAGAGATGCTCAGTAATTTGTCCAAGATCACACACCAGGGAAGCGGCAGAGCTGCCCGTCCCTGCCCACTCCCCGCTCCGCGGCCCACCACCCACAAAGAAGCCGCCGCAGCCTGAGCCACAGCCTTTACATGGGCCTGGAGGAGGATCTGGCCTCCCAGGTGGGAGTTGGGGCATCTCTTAGCAGGCCGGCAGCTCGGGTGTCTCCTGTAGACGTCATTAAGTTGAGCGGGTGTCTGGAGCGCTCAGGGTAGGGCCGACGTCACCAGCAGGCCCCCATGGGTGTCAGCGTTGGGTTTTGTGATTACTGCTAATAATGAATACTATTTTCCCTTTGTTCTCATTGCAGTCTCGGTTGCAGGTAAGGCCAGCAGTCCTTCCTGTCGTGCTGCAGGAGTTCCTAGGGGCCCTTCCTCAGGAGCCACATGAGAAGTCCCTGACTGAGCCTCGCCTGGAGCCAGGCAGACAAGGCTGAACTGGGAGGCCAGCCCGGGGGTGGAGGTCACCAGCATGTCATGGCACAGGCCAGAGACGACAGCCCAGGGGCTGGGCAGCAGGGCTGGAGGAGCTCGGGGCTGGCAGAGTGGGCCTCCTCCGCCACATCACTCATGCTGTTCCACTTCCCACAGACTACATACCCCTGTGGGTGTACGGGTTCATCACGGGCATCTCCATCCTGCTGGTGGGTTCTGTCATCCTGCTGATCGTCTGCATGACCTGGAGGCTACCCGGTAAGGGGCGTCATGGGGTTTGCCCCTCTGTTCCTCTCTTTCTTCCCATGCCTTCCTCTTCCCACTCCAGTCTCTGCAAGGCTGCACTCAGAGGGCACCCTCCAGTCCCAGGCCCCCCATCCCAGGTGAAGTACTGACATCGTCTCTCTTTGGCCACGGCAGGCTCCCTCGTCAGGAACTCAGCCTGCGGGAAGGCTGAACTGGGCTCGGACCCCCAGCTCCACTGCTTACTCCCTGGGCACATTACTTCATTCTCTGAGCCTCGGGTTCCTCTTTTATAAAAAGGAAATTATAAAGATACCCATATCATAAAATGAATATAAAGATTACATGAAAACGTATATGACTTCTTAGCCTTGAGCCTGGTGCATATTTGCTCAACATATGTTAGCCACAATTATGTTTATTGCTACCAAAATTAATAAAACAAACTGGTTGGAAGGAGCTAAGGTAGGGTTTCCCTGCCTCAGACATCAGCCAGACAGGTGGGAGAACCTGAATGAGCCCATCCTGCAGCCCCCAGACGCGTACATCTGTCGGGGAGAACAGCAAGGGACAGCACGATGTGATAGAGAAGGCTCTGGATGGGCCCAGAACACACGGATGCAGCTCCCAGCTCCGCCTCCCTGCTTTGCAGGCGTAGGCAGCTTGCTGAACAAACCCTAGATTTGGTTTTGTCTTCTGTGAACTGGGATAATGACCCCTCCCTCCCAAGGTTGTGGTGCGGATTGAATGGGCTAGCCATGGAAGGCACTAGCCAGCGGGTGCTGGGAGATAGCAGCTCCTCTCCCTGTAGCCCTCTCTGGCCAGGTTCTGAGCAGGAGAGCACATGGGCCTCCAGGTGAGGGGCTCAGCCTTCCCCTGCCCCTCTGCGGCCCCACGCCCTTTCTTCAGTGGTCTGAGAGCTGTTTCCACACTTAAAAGGCTCATCAGGATTAAGTATTAATCATTATTAATTCTTGTGTGATGGGGAGACCACCACAGCAGGCCCTGGAAGACCCACCGTGAGGGCACTTCTCCACAGGATTGTTTCAGGGTCAGATAAGTTAACATCTCCGTGAGTGCTTTAAAGATTGATTGGGAGGGGTGGGGGGGCGGCACAGAAGGAAAGGGAAGAGAAAGAGAAAGAATCTCAAGCGGACTCCCCGCTGAGCGCCAAGCCCCACATGGGGCTCCATCTCATGACCTGAGCCGAAACCAAGAGTCAGACACTTAACCGACTGAGCCACCCAGGCGCCCCCGTGAGTGCTTTATAAACTGTAAAGCTCTCCATAGATGCCAGGGAGGCTTTTTGCTTCATTTCTGTTATTGCATTTCTGACCTTCTATTGAAGTGTGCCCCACACCATGGGGTGAAGGAAAGGACACTTGTTCGACTGTATTTGGTAGTTCTGGGAAAAGGCCCAAGAGGTGGGAATTGAAATTCTGGTTCAAAAAGTCTTCCTTGGGGCACCTGGGTGGCTTAGTCGGATAAACGTCTGCCTTCGGCTCAGGTCATGATCCTGGAGTCCCTGGATCGAGTCCCGCATCAGGCTCCCTGCTCAGCAGGGAGTCTGCTTCTCCCTCTGACCCTCCCCCCTCTCATGCTCTCTCTCTCATTCTCTCTCTCTCAAATAAATAAATAAAATCTTTAAAAAAAAAAAGTCTTCCTTGGCCACGCATGGGTTCCGTGCGTCCTGCCATGTCACCAAGGAGCTGACTCCTGCACCACAGTTCCCTTCTTTATATCTCTGGGGGACCAGTTGCTTAAGAATGTTGTTTCCCTTTCTCACCTCAGAAATAACAGGAGGAAATGTTGTAAACGGGCCTGGTGGGGGCTGCTTCTGGAGATGTGTTGTAAGCCTCTTGCAAGGACGCGTCTGGGGAAGAGCTTTCCCTGCCGTGGGGCATTTCCTCAGGAGTGGCCAGACTGGGGGGAGGAAAGGAACCATTGCTAGAACGAGGGACATGGGGTCACCATGCTGGGGGTCCTGGCTTGGTCAGTGCTGCAGAATATTCGTGACCCCAGCTGACTACGTACAATTTACCAGACACTTCACAGATACAATCTCATTTAATCCCTGCTGCCCAGACCCCTTTTACAGAGGAAGAAACTGAGTTTCGGAGACCTTAGTAACTTTCCCAGATCTCACAGCTGTTGATGGCAGATCTCAGAGTCACACTGAGCGGCTCCTCACAGCCTGGTGTCCTGTGAAGGTCCTGAAGCATCTGGCAACTGCTTCTTCCGACTGCCCTCCCTGACCGTCTGTCCTGGGTCAGGGGTGGGACGGCACTCCTTCAGATGCCCCTGGGAATTGGTCCCTATTTCTCTTCCAAAAGAGCTGCTCCAGTGTTTTCCTTTTTTTCTTTCAGGGTCTCATCGTGAAAAATATGGCAATGACACCAAATACACAGGTCAGTATTTCCTGGTGTGGGTGGGCTGGGTTCGGTGAGTGTTGCTGTCAAAGGCGTGATGGAAGGTTCTCTTGAGACACGGGTGGGTTGCCTTCTGCAGTTTAACTCCTGACTTCCTTCAGGAGACCTCAGCTTGGAGGACCCACCTTCCAGGACCCCTACACAGAGGGGACCACAAATGGCAAGGCTGGGTTACCATTTTTGAAATCACTTGGACAAGGAAAGGAAGGGAAGGGTACCATCTTTGATGAAAAGAGGTCCTACCTATAACAGATATTTGTATTCCGTAGGGAGGCCTTTGTGCCTTTTTTGCTTTTTAATTACAATAATTAAAGTACAGGCTCAAGGCCAGATAGGAATCTTGAGAAAGAAATGCACTCTCCCAGAAGGCACCACATGGTGATTCTTTTCAGGCAGCCAGAACGGGTGAAAGAGCAACATCTGGCTTATTCCAAGGCCTCGGCTGCATTACTTAGACTAGGGAACCGGTGTCTGCCTGGTCCAGACGCCCCCTGGGCTGTCTGAGGATCAGCCCAGGCGCACACCCAAACCTGGGGGCCTGGCTTTCCTTGTTTCCCTCAGATGTCCTGCCTGAGACCAGCCTGACCCCTCCACCGCTGAAGCCCAGGAAGGTCTGGATTGTCTACTCTGCCGACCATCCTCTCTACGTGGACGTGGTGCTGAAGTTCGCCCAGTTCCTGCTCACTGTCTGTGGCACCGAAGTGGCCCTCGACCTGCTGGAGGAGCAGGTCATCTCAGAGGTGGGGGTCATGACCTGGGTGGGCCGCCAGAAGCAGGAGATGGTGGAGACCAACTCCAAGATCATCGTCCTGTGCTCCCGAGGCACCCGGGCCAAGTGGCAGGCCATCCTCGGCTGGGAGGAGCCGGCTGTCCAGCTCCGGTGTGACCGCTGGAAGCCCGCGGGCGACCTTTTCACCGCAGCCATGAACATGATCCTACCAGACTTCAAGAAGCCAGCCTGCTTCGGCACCTACATCGTCTGCTACTTCCGTGACATCAGCAGTGAGAGTGATATCCCCGACCTCTTCAACATCACTTCCAGGTACCCACTCATGGACAGGTTTGAGGAAGTTTACTTCCGGATCCAGGACCTGGAGATGTTTGAACCTGGCCGGATGCACCGCGTTGGGGAGCTCACAGGTGAGAACTACCTGCAGAACCCGAGCGGCTGGCAGCTCAAGGAGGCTGTGGAGAGGTTCCGGGAGTGGCAAGTCCAGTGCCCAGACTGGTTTGAGCGCGAGAACCTTTGCTCAGCGGATGACCAGGACCTCCTGTCCCTGGACGAAGAGGTGTTTGAAGAGCCCCTGCTGCCGCCAGGAAGAGGGATCATCAAGCAGAAACCCCTGGTGCACGAACCCATCTCTGAGGGCTGCCTGGTGGGAGATCTGCTTGTCGGTGAGGAAGGAAGAGGACTCTCAAGGCTGGAACCTCAACTCCAGCCCCAAGGAGAGCTGGCGGCCCAGGCCCTCCAAACCGCAGTGCTCCCAGTGGACGAGGTCCCTTCGGCTCAGGCCGTGGAACCCGTCCCTCCGGCCATTGAGAGCAGCACAGCGGGCCGGCTGGCCGTGGTGGGGAGAGACGAGGCCTGCCCGCTGTTGGAGGGCTTTGGCCCGCGGCGGAACAGTGTCCTCTGCCTCCCCGTGGACTCAGAGGCCCCGCCTCTCTGCAGCACCCCTATGGCATCCCCCAGCTATGTCCCGGAAGACGTAAGGGAGCAGCTCAAAGGCTTGATGTTCTCACTCTTCCAGCAGAGTCTGAGCTGCCGGGCCCAGGAGGGCTGGGACAGAGCAGCAGTGGCCCTCAAAGACCTCTGCACGCCCTACGAGGGGGAGCAGCGGCAGTCCGTGCAGTCCGACCAGGGCTATATCTCCAGGAGCTCCCCGCAGCCCCCTGAAGGACTTATGGAAATGGAGGAAGAGGAAGAAGAGCAGGACCTGGGGACATCGGCCAAGCAGCTCTCTCCTGAGGACCTAGAGAGCCTGAGAAGCCTCCAGAGATGGCTCTTCTTCCAAGAGCTTCAGAAGAACTCCGGCTGGGACGGTGTGGAGCCGGAGGAGCCCTAGGGCCTCCCTGGCCCCAGGGTGTTAGGGAAGGAAGGTGTGCGAACACGAGCGTACACGTGTCTGTATATATGCATATGTTCCTGTGTGAAGGGTTTGCCTCTAAATGTAGACCTCTTGAGCCCTGCACATCACCCTGAATTTTCTTTCTCTGACCCTGTGGTCATGTTCTGTCTCAGCAAGAATCCGCAGCCCATCCCTAGGAGCCAGCGACAGAACGTCCTTGAGCCTCCATCATGCAGTCATTTGGTCATCCAGCATTTATTTTGCCCCTCTCATGTGCCAAGCATCTGAGATGCAAAGAAAATTGCACAGGGACCCTGGCCACCAAGGGGCTTAACATCTGGTGGGAGCAACAGATTAGCAAACAGGATGGTCCTGTGCGATGGACAGGCTTAGTAGAGGTCTGCCCAGGGCTGTGAAAGTACACAGAAGGAGCAGCTGGGCCCAGAGACCGTGGTTGGAGAGGGCAGCAGTCCCCGGGGCGGGGGCAGCGTGTGGGGTGAGGGGGCAACCAGAGCCCAGGCTGCAGAAGGGCTTGTGGGCCAGGCTGGGGGGTTGGGACATCAGCCCGGTGCCCTGGCATTCCTTTGATAGGGTGAGCTGCTGCCCTGCAGAGGAGGGGCCTGAGGACCAAACATACCCGAAAGCCACCTCAGACCGTCTTTGGAAAGAGACAGGATAGAAATGTGTGATGAGAACCTTAAGAGCATTCAGCAGGGAGAAAAGCCTGGAGTCCTGAGCTCCCATTTTGGCCCTCAGTCAGTGGGAGAGCCACCGCAGAGGAGTCTTCTGGGGCCGCATGGCCAGGCCCCTGGGCAGCAGCACCCCGCCGAGCTCAGGAGGCCCTGGAGCTGGGGGCCCAAGCCTGAGTGTGAGATACGGAGGGCGCCCGGCAGGGTAGGCAGAGGGGCGCAGGGCGGAAGTGGGAGGCACGCAGGGCCCAGCAGGCCTCTCTGGGGGGGAGGGGAAAACGGGCCACTCTGTACCTAAAAGTCTGAGGTTCAAAGACAGTATTCGAGGAGAGATGCTTAGGTTCAGGGCCCGAAGACATTGTGCCTGAAGTGCCTTCTTGGGAGGAACTGAAGGCTTCTGGCTGTCCGGGGTCCCGGCGAGCGCACTGGGATGCCGTCTGCCCCTGGACTCGGGTGAGCTCATTGCCTGGACTCGAGCCCTCAGCTGGCGCCGAGCTCCAGTGAAGGGGTGAGGACTCAGGCAGGTAATGGGAAACCGTCACAGGTTTTGTGTGTGTGTGTGGTTGTGTGTGTGACACACACATGCGTCATGTGCACAGAAGGGAGATGGTCAATAAAAGAAAAGATTTGTCCACTCTGGTAAGAACGCCCGGTAGTTCTGTTGAGTCACGTGTTGCTACAGGTCGAGTGCCTGGCTGTGAGTCCTTTCAGTCGTGCGATTTCCCCGAGCAGCCGCAGGGGCAACGGGTCGAAGGCCCGGACACAGCCCCACAGCAGCGAAGGACCGGGGAGACAGAGCCGCACACGGGGTGTCTGTGTCTCCCCCCCGCAAATACTTGACACCTCATCCTCAGTGTGGCAGTAGCGGAGGTACAGGTGATCAGGTCGTGAGGAAGCAGCCCCAGAGAGCTCCGTGCACCCCCTGCCTCGTGAGGTGCGGCGAGATGGTCATCTGTGAGCCGGGCCGCAAGCTCCCAGCACACACCCAGTCCGCCAGCTCCCTAGTCTTGGACTTGCCGGCCGCTGGAGCTGTGAGCAGTGTGTGTATAAGCCGCCCGGTCTGGGGTGGTCTGTGCCCTCAGCCCTCCCAGGCGGGGACAGCAAGAAAGGGAGCTGCGCCCTCCCGGCCACCAGCCTCTCAGGCTCCGTCTCCCCTCCAGTTGGCTGGCAGTGGGCGTCCCCGGGGCCAGATGCCCACCAAGCTTTCTGTGACCCAGCTTCCAGGAAGCACTTACTCAATGTCCAGAGTGTGGAACACCATGGTGGACTCTTCCTGGCTGGGGCCAGGCTCGACGCGCCAGCAGCATGGCCCCAGCCAGTGTAGCCCTGGCGCCCAGAAGCATACTTTCCATTTGGATTGTGTTCCCCACAAGCCTTGAATTCTAGTTCTGCTGGCCTTTGAGGCCACATGTCCTCAGCATTGCTCGCTGTGTTCCCCTTCTCTCGGGGCTGCTGCCTGTTTTCCTGACAACTTTATTGAGATACAGTGCACATACCGTGTCATTCACAGCTGACCCTATGATGCAGTTCAATGGCTTTTAAGAGTTCAGAGCTCAGCAACCATCAGCATACTCAATTTTAGAAATTGTTCTTACCCCAAAAAGAAATCCGGCACCTTTTTTTTTTTTTTTAAAGATTTTATTCGTTTATTTGAGAGAGAGAGTGCACAAGCAGGGTGAGGGGCAGAGGGAGAAGCAGGCTTCCCGCTGAGCAGGGAGCCCGATGTGGGGCTCGATCCCAGGACCCTGGGATCATGACCTGAGCCAAAGGCAGATGCTTAACCAACTGAGCCACCCAGGTGCCCCGAAATCCAGCACCCTTTAATCCTTACCCCAACGTCCCTAAACTACCCCCCCATCCCTCTGTGGATTTGCCTGTTGTGGACATAACATATATAAATGGAATCGTAAAGTTCTCCAGGGCTTCTGGACCCTTTCTTGAATGTCATTCCCTGGTTCCTCCCATGTTCCTTCCGCTTCCAGGGAGCCCCCAGTCTCAGACTGGCCTTTGCTCACCACAAATGCTGGAAGTTCTGTCAGCCTATGGTGTCTGCTGTCAGCTCAATGTCAAGAGCGTCAAGAGCATGTGTAAATAAAGCCTTGCCTTGCTTTTTGTATTATTCTGAAACATGGCTAATAAAATCCTGCTTCACCCAGAAACGCCATTCCAAGAATAGATGTCCTCCAAGCTGTGGTTTTCCTACCACTCAAGCCCCTCTCCTAAACAGAGTACAGCCGAAGTGGCTCAAGGGGATGGAAGGACCCGCAGTCAACATGCGACCCAAACCTAGAGTGGAGCAATGACCCGTGCCCGGCATCCAGTTTCCGACTCCTGAGTGGATTTGCATGCATCCCTGCCTGCTGTCTGGATCTTAGTCAAGAAGGGAGGAGGGGGGCGGGAATGATTAGATGGTGGTGTAGACATGCTTTCCAACTTCACTTCTACCCCAGTTTCTCTTTTCTGCTTAGGAAGGGCCTCAGAGGTGTTCAGGCTCTGAGGGGGTTGGTCAGTCACTTGAACATCCAGCACTTTGAGTTGGAATCTCCAAATGCCAGGGTATGATGGATTTTACTTCATCTCTGCTTGTCTTTGAAGATTAAATAAGACATAAAGGAGTGGAAGATGTACTTAAAATGCAATGGGAAGTTTTAATCCGATGGCCTTTAGACTCTGCAGTTGATGTCCTCCCTTCCCAAATAAATAAGGGCAGTGCCAGGCCCACTTCTGCTCCAACGCTTCCAGAAAAGACCTGCCAGTTCAGGGCCACGAGACCGCGGCTGCTCCAGGCTATGCAATAAAGTAAGGGCCCAAGTATGCTTGAGCTGGTATTCCAGCCCTGGCCTTGGGTCTCTGGTCAGGGGCTGGAGAGAGAGTTTCTTTATTTTTTTAATTTTAGGATTGTATTTATTCATTTGAGAGAGCAAGCACAAGCAGGGGGAACTGCAGGCAGAGGGAGAAACAGGCTCCCCACCAAACAAGGAGCCCGATGCGGGACTCAATCCCAGGACCCCGGGATCATGACCTGAGCCGAAGACAGACGCTTAACCAATTGAGCCACCCAGGCACCCAGAGAGAGGTTCTTTAAAAAGAGGCTGGCAACAGTTAACCCAAGGCTGGGGCCCTGGCTCTGCTGCTTGCCAGCCCTGTGATTGATCAGGGGATCTTCCTGAGGTCTCAGGTTGCTGGAGGTGCAGCAGAGGCTTCTCCCTCATAGAGGTCTCATGAGGAGTGGATGGAACATCCATGTGAGGTGCTTGAGTGGTGTCCCACAGACGGGAGCACTCAGCACACGGTGGCCCTTGTTCCGTCCAGGTGTTGCCACCCATACACACTGCTGCCCTTGGGAGGAGTCCAGAGGCTCCCTTGGGTCTCATTGCCTCTCAGTAAGGAGCACTCTGACCGGGTTCTCGGTCAGAGCAGTTGAGGAATGTGGGGCAGTTTAGCCTTCTTCCTGCTGTTCGGGCTTTCTTATTCTAGTGTTTGTTTTTTCAGATTACAAAAGCAATATACAATCCAATAGTCTATATTATGGGAGAATATAAAATAAAGCAACAGCCCCCAGCCCATGGGTACAGGCTGTGAAGTTGGGGTGCCCACTCACAGCCTCCCACATCACTCCTAAATGGCTTCACGGTCCATCTTCTTGCTTTTGGCCTCACCCCAGCCCTCCATGCCCTGCCGCCTCTCCCAGATCTTGGCGCTGGGTGCACATTCGCATCCTGTCCGTTTGGGTTGGTTGAGGCAGGTGAAGTGCCCTGGAGAACCAGCCTTTGTCCGTTAGAGGAAAATGGAGTCCCCTCTCTCATGATTTCAAGGATAACAAGAGGTCTTGTCCAACATGCCTTCCCAGACCCCAGTTCCTGGATTCCCTTCCTAGGAGGAGGAGTTCCCTAGGCTGTTAGTTTGCTGGATCCTTCCCTTCTGATCAGAGAGGAAGAAGATACAACAGTGACCTGAGAGGAGAGAGAGCAGAAAAGAATGACGCACGATTCGCTGGCCCCTGACTTTTGCTCACTGCCGCTTCCTTGGGACTCACACAGAATAGGAAAACCAGCCCCTGCTTTTTAGCCAGACCATTCAGCTTTAATAAGGAGAAGTGGAACTCTATTAACAGCTCGGTCTGAAGGCTGCCTGTGGTCGTGCAGAGTTTGGAGACAGACCTGGGTTCAAATCTAGATTCCCTTCCTGACTCTAGTGTGGTATTCAGCAAGCTACTCTATCTTTCTGGACCTCAGGAAAATGGAGCTAAAGCCCCCTTGCAGATGACTGTGAGGAGGAAATGAGCTGCTGTGCATCAAGGGCCTGCCACAGGCAAGCACAGGATGTGTCTCCGGGCTCCTCCGGAGGGCCAGGACTGCAGGGTCAGACTCAAGCCCTCGGCAAGGCCTCAGCGTGGCCCACTCTGAATACACCGTCCGCTCACATGCCATTTCTTTATCTTTCACAGAGGGCTTTCGTTGTATGGTCCCGCCGACCACAGCGGTGGGAGCTAGCTTGCTTACCTGTCAGAAACGTGTCAATATAACATGCTTAGTCAAACTCATCATCTTATTTTATATCTCGATTTAGGAAGAAAGGAAGACATGGTCTTATGTTTCTCTGTCATTGTTTTACATGTGAATGTTGTCCCCCGTTGTGATTATCAATGTCTTGAGGAAAAGGACCGTTTTTGCATATGCCACCTCACTTAATTATTACCATAGCCTTGTGAGGTAATAGTGCTCCTGGGTGATAAGTGAGGAAGACACCCCAGGAGGGGAGGTCAGTGCCCACGGCCGCCGCTGGTAGGAGGCAGAGCAAGCCCAGGACCGGCATTCCCACGCTCTGAGTTTGCCTCTTTTGCCATCTGGGTCCGCCCGCCGTGTGGCCTTTGCAATGGCCACAAGCGCCACAGGGCAACAGCACAGAGTGGTTTGAATGGTACCGGCTGTGTCTGTGCTACAACAAAAACAATTATTTTTGTGCAGACTCAATGTTCTGTCAGACTTCACAGTCCCCTTTGTGTTGTGTTGTTGTTGTTGTTGTTTTAAAAAAGGCGTTCTCATTCATACGTAATTCATGCCTCTGGCTGGGGCATAAGTCAGAGAGGAGGGCAAAGTATTTGAATACAAATTCCTCAGTCTTTCCTTTGGGAAGTTATTCTTAGAAGGAAATGGGAGTGAAAGCCCCAAGTGTCTGGGGAAATGTCTCTCAGGCCAAGAGCCCACCTGTTAGCTCTGCCTATGGGAGGCCTGCCTAGACACCCCCCAGATCAAGGCCAAAGCCACCCCGCCTCCCTGCATAGTGCCAACCACCTAGAAGGAAATGGCCAAGTGTATCCACAATGTTAACACAAGCCTATAAAATGATGACAAATGTCACAGTGACACTTAAGAATTTAGTAAGGAAACCAGGACAGGAAAGATCTTAAAACAAACCACACAGGAAGCTTGTCACAAGTCTCAAGTTTTTTATTTTCAGAACAGAGGCTGATTTTATTTTTAAAAAGAAAAAGGGGCAGGGGAAACGTGCTCAATGCTAGTGAGGTGCCACTTCCCTTCTCCCAGGCTCTAACTTCCAGCCAGCTCTCTTCCCCGAAAACACATGGACTCAGAACAGCATTTAGAGGGGGGCCGATCCAACCCCCTTTTACAACCCAGAGAGTCAG